TACTGCCCCCCCCAGTAGCAGTCTATATTAGGGGTCCTATTTAGGGTTATATATAACCATATCATAATTATTATCCAAGTGTTACTGAGGGGGGGCAATGCTGAAGTTTAAGTGGCGGCTTGATCCTAATGTGACAATACCTCCTTCCTTGAGCCGGCTGCTTGCCAGGTGCTTGTCGTCTCCTACTTTGGAGCCCCGGCGTGGGAGCTGGATCTTCGTGCTTCGGGGCTTTGGGTTTTGGGTGCAGGATCCTGTCTTTTTGTCACCAGGAGACCTTTACCGCCCTGAATTGTTGGTAGTTAGACAGGCGGAGTTTTGGGCCCACGGCTGGGGAACGATCTTGCGAGGTGCCCCACAAATGTTGGTTTCGGCCCTTTGAGGTTTGGGGCTAACGTTCGGTGTTGGGATTCTTGCGGGCGTTGGGGGAAGGATCCAGCTGCGGGCTGCGGGATCCTGTGAGTTCACGAAGTTTCTGTTCGCTCCTTTGCTGTGTCGGAGTTGTTTGGTGCAAGAGGGCTACACGGCCCTGGTACTATAGGCATTCCTTGCAGTGAGTTTACATTTCCTCTAGTGGCCTTGTCAAGAAGGTGTAGGGGACATGAGCCCTTGTTCGTCCTGACACTGCAGTTAATAATTAGGTTTTGGCTGAAAAGTAGTTTGTTTGTTCCCGTGCGCTTGAGAACTGTTATGAGAAGCAGCCAAATGATCTTTCATATCTGGATGTAGCATCTTCTCGTTTGTTCGTCGGCCTATCCGCCTAGCCTAGAGTAACGAACCAATCTTCTCAACCTGCGATTGGTGAGGGTCCCGGAAATTGATGTATCTGCGACTTTTGAAAGTTGAGAAACCAAAGCCTGTGCGAGCTTTAGTGGACTAAGATGTCTATGGAGGAGGCTGTCAAACTAAACCCCCGCCCATGCCAAGGAAAGAGCCTGGAGCCGCCACTGAATTCCTTTGACACAGTGCTTTACATGGCCCTGCCATGCACCTTCTTCATGCTCTTTGTGTCTTTGTGCGCCACGGCTTTACTGCAGGCATAGGAGGCTAAAGGAGGCTCAAGGGGTGAATGTACGGCTTCTGCCAAACCCTTTCCCTGCCACGATGCAAGATCAAGCTAGAGTAGAGGCTCCTCAGTCCTGCCGCCCGCCTCAATTGCCTATGCTTGTCATGATTCTCTTCATTTGCATGTCAATATTGACCTTGCTTCCCTTGCTAGGACGTACAAAGCTACTTTCTGAGGTTCTAAGCTCTATTGAAGCTGCGTTGCAGGTCTAGTCATTGCGGGTCTCGTCGCCCTAATACTTTCGTGCGTTGTGCAAGAACCCTAGAGCAAACCCCTAAAACCCTGCAGCCTAGACACTGATGAGCCCCAAACCCTTCGAAGTTAAAACCCTAAACGGGGTTTAGGGTGTAGGGGTTTAGAAACAAGGGTTGCCTTGGTATACCCAAATCTACTATGTCCTCAAGATAGGAACCCCAAACAGGAAACCCCAACAAAATGGCAGGAACAGAATAGGAGTGTTGTCGATGTAGAAAAGAAATATGGCAGGAATAGATTACGCCTGTAATAAGAACAGAATAGTATTATAACAGGAATAGAATTTGAACACTCCGTTTATAATTTGGGATTTCAATTTTTCCCAGTTGCCTCCCACCCGGTGGAGTGGGCTGGCTTCCCTCAGCTGACTGACCTCCAGGCACGATCTTCGGTTATAGGGGGTTCCCTAGCCCTTTCAAGGGGATGTATATATATATATACATGTATATGCACAGACACACACAGATAGATAGATGGATTTATAGATCTATAACATATATATATACACGTGTGTACAGGTACCTGTGCTATAGGGATATAGCAGGATGTAGGGTTCTGGGTGGAAAGCTTACTTTGTGTAGCCCTTGGATTCCCAAGAGGTTCCGGAAACTGTTGAAGAAGGGCTGTAGCAGGAGAATAGGGCTTATGAAGGGGATATGATCGACTCCAGGGTTCCTCAGCGTCGGGTTTTGGGTCATTGAGTGGGGGCTTAGCAGTTTAGATGATCTCCAGGAGGTTTATGGGTACTGAGTCCTTCTGGTGGGAGCTTATGTTCTTCTTTGCAGGAATCCACGTAGGTATGCGAGGGCTTTGTGAGGTACAGGGACTTAGGAACACCGCAAAGAGGGGAGTGATCAGGCCTTCCGGATGTTTTTCTGTTCAGTACTTCGGGTTTCGGGTGGAGGCTTTGGGTTGTAGGGCTTGGGTGTTGGCAGTGAAGGCAAGATCCCAATGTGGGTGCAAGACCCATCGGCTCTTAGAGCCGAGGCTCATAGTCTCCCTTAGTTAAGTAGATAAGATATGGCTTTGGGCATATTATAACACGATCCCCATACACCCCATATTATATCTACTTGAGGGGGACTATAATGTTTAGGGTTGTAGCTCTTAGTTGCTTTTTCGGTAGTGGCTGAATCCTGGCATCCGCACTATCTACATTTCGGTGTGGGCCCCAGCAGTTTGGAGAGAAGATTCATTCCCAGCCAACTTCCCCAAATTAAAATAAAATGGAACTGCATATAGCCTTGTCAGAAAAGGACAGTAGCCTCTGTAGGCCTTCCTTTTGGGGTTCCATGTCCGTTTTGGGAGCATGCTTCCCAGGCTAACGCTTTGGTAACATGAATCGGCCGCAGGTCTTGAAGCACGTGCTGTCCTGGAATGTATCTTGCCTGCATTATGTGCAGTGGGATGCCTTGCAAATAAGGCCTCTGACATGTTGGACAAGTTTTAAACATCTTACAACACACTTTTTGGTCTAGTGGACTCCTGCCGCCAAGGCGACGGCCTTGGTCTGGGTCATCTTATCTGGCTTCCTCGCCGCTGGGTACAACTGCATGTCCTACAGCATCGTTCAGAGGCTTGGGACTTGCAGGGGGGTATAGGCATACTTCGAGTAAGTGTCTACATCAACTTCTTCCCCGATAGCCTTCTTGTTTTCTTTGATGTCGGACCTTGTCTATGGCAGTCTCGTGCATGTGAGACAACACGTGGCTTGAAAGCTTCGGAGCCAGGTACGCTGCGCGTAAACCCTACACCCTAAACCGAACATGTGGCGCAGGAACTTTGGGAATCATAAAACTGATAGGCAGCACCAGCTCTACTCTCGCTGGAAAAGAATGTTGTTGCAGCTGGTATTGTTTAGTGTGTCAGGAACTTGGTTAACGAAGCAAGAGGAACACAGACGCAAGCGGGCAAAAATCAGGAGGAATTATTTCCTACGGAACCTGGCAGCAGGATCCAATTCCTCCAATTGGGAAAGGCCGCATGCAATTGTGGATGCCTTGAGTGCCGGCCTGACATGGCAGATTTTTCAAAGTTCGGAAACCCAGGGTCCCGGGCCAGTGCCCAGCATATGGTGGATGGCGACAATCTGGCACCATTCTATTCACCCTCCTGAGACTTGCGACAGTTTTGGAATTTTTTGACTTCCAATTCATCAGCGCCTGCGCCCACCCGGGACAGTTGTCTTGTATGATTATTGTTCTAGACGGAGCCAATCATAGATTCTTAGTAGTGGTAATATGCCCACCTGACTGCCTGGATCCGCTGCCCCATGTAGGCTGTCAGCCACAACGGCGGGCTTTGCTGGGAACTTCAACAAGGCAATGCAGTATCCAAATTTCGGTTCGGTTTAGACAAGAGTAGGGGACCTACAGCTACAGGGTTCCCCCAAGAAACAGCAAGTTGTGTGACACCTACCGCAGGTCTCAGACACGGGCTGCGTTTGCTGCTTGAAGTTTCTAGCTCAGGTGTTTCTCGATTTTTTGAGTTTCTTGTGGCATCCAGAAGAGCAGGGTGATGCTGTTCCGTGGTACTGTATGGGGGACACCAGAAACACCCATAGGATGTCCCCGCCAAATGACTTACCTTCGACTTACTGGTACTTGAGGGATAAAAACTCCTATGTAATCCCCATATATACCCCTAAACGGCCCTAAACCCCCAAAACCCTACACCCTAAACCCTAAACACCCTAAACCCATTCACTTCCCCACTCCCCCTTAAGCACGCCTGCATCAACAGGCTGCCTTGATCCTCATCTCCATCTGCTTGGGGCTGGAGAGGTGCCGAGCGGTTTAGGGTGTATGGATTTAGGGTTTAGGATTCAGGATTTAGGATTAAGCTTGCAGGGTCTACCACTCACCTTGGGATAATTCAGGGCTTAATTCGCCCTTATTTGGTGGATGACATTGGGACACAGGGGGGGAGTAGTGTTTCATCTCAAGTAGACAGTGTGATGAGCAGATAGAACACCAGAACCACCCTGGCCTGAGGCCTAGAAAGAGCGAAAGGTGTCCAAACCTGTTAGCCTTCTCAGTGATGTAGCAGCCTGAACAGTAGGGTAGTATGGTTTTGAGTTAGGGATTTGGTTGGAACCTCAATATTCTCAAACGCTATCGTGTGCTTCGCCTCGGCTGTTGGACAGCAGACTCTAGAAAAACAAGCTCGTCTGAATCAAGCTTATCGGAAGGGTAATACAAGGCCTTTTTGCGCATTCCTCAAGATGGAGTCCTTTAGTGACTTCCTGATGCGGGGTGTATGGTTCCAGAATTTTTCAAGGGTAGTGTGCAGACTGCATATGGAGACAAGCATTTCGTGTCGGGCTTCAGAATCCCAAGTTGTACCACAGTCTAGGGGTTTTGCTTGGCAAATACGAAGCCCCCACTAAGATTTTTTTTGTATGCTTGAAGGCCTCTAGCCCGAATAGGCGTCGCCCTAAACCCTTTCTAGCATTAGCTCGGCTGCCGTTGGCTGCAGCCGGAGAGCTAATGTTTGTTGGCTTGTTTGGCTCATGTTCTTCGATGCGATGGCTACATCTTCCTGGTGCTTAATGTGTTCTGCTCCTGTAGAACCCTCAAGTAGACCTAGGCCCCAATGGTAGAACCAAACAGCGCATGACATGACAAAGTCGAGAATTCGCTAGAGCGAAGCCAGCTTTGACGTTTGCCGAACGTTGCGGAGCGCCTGCGTGCCACAACGGCCAGCCGTCAAGAATACACCCTGGCACCAGTGAGAGGTGTTGCAATTTCGATATCCAGCAATAGCTCTGCAAACTGGTCATCGTAGGATTGGGTACGATGCACGGCTCCTCAAATACCGTACGATGGTGCAAGAGTTCTTCACACTCCGTTCGGGGCTTTAGACCTTCCAGGCCTGAACGCTCTTTGTAAATTGCCCATAAGCCGTTATACTTTTTAATCTCCGTGGGAAAAGCTCAAAGCCTTAAATGCTAAACGGAAGATCCTAAACTCGCGAAGCCTAAAACCTTAAACTCAAGCCTGAGTCAGCTGTAAATTCCATCTCTTAAACTTAAGTTTCACAGCCAGGCTGCCACCAGGTATTTGGGCAGTGGTCATGGTGGCCGCGGTTGTCGGCGCCTGGGGCAGTGTTGCGATTAGGGTGTCATGCTCATGATCAAGTTTTGTTGTAACATCAGGTTAGGGTAAGGGTTCGGACAAGTTGCTGTAGACTTAGGGGCTCGGGTGGTGTAATTAACGGAATGGCGAGCTTAGGCGGCGACAATTCTACAAGGTTGTTGCGTTGGGGCTGCTTCAGGATTTCGGTAGACGTGACCGGGAGCCGCATTCATGGGCCACAGCGTAGGTGCGGTGAACATCCTTTGCGAGGGAGGCTTCAGCCTGAGTTCCTCTCCTGAAGCCCGTAGAGCGGACTCGGAAATTTCAAATGCCCATCAAGTCCACACGGTAGGACCGTGTGGCAATTGTGCGTGACGTCATTGAATTTCAACGGTGTCTGTGCCTATATGGATATCTATCTCCTTGCGCTTGTTCACAAGGGCAAATCTTCACATCCTAACAACTCGACCTCTTGCTTCCTGCAGCATACAGCCTGAAGCCCTTTACCATAATTACTTCCGATTTGGGCACTGGCAGCGGATCTCAGGAAACATCCTCTCCTTCACGGGCCTCTCGGCAACGTCTGCAAGACTACGACACCTAAAAGAGCAGAGAATGAGGGATTGTCTGAAATTTTGCCAATCCCCTTTGCTTTTACTCCAAAAACCTTCCGCCCTCATCCCTTCCTTCAAGGATTATGTTAGTGTCCTCTTACATACCCATTAAATCACTATTACAAGCTGGGGGGTCCTCCTAAACGGGACTCCATGAAGCCCCGTTTTTGGGACCGTAGTTTTTATTGGCTCTGCCTTGGGATCTGTGTCATCACATCGGGGATGCGGGCGACTAAATACACGTGTACAAAGCCCCGAGTTGTAGAGGCACATACAATTCCAGCGTCAAAGCTCCGTGCCAGACGCCAGCCCTGGACCCCAAACCCTAAACCCTAGACCCTAAACCCTAAACCCTAACTAAACCCTAAAAACTCCTGTACATCCCAGTACCAGAAACCTCTAGACCCTAAAGTGGAAAACCTTGACGCCCAAACTCATCACCAGACAAGCTCCTCGACCCCAAACTGGCTTTTGGTTAGCTGGAAATGAAGGGTCCATGGGATGGGTTTAGGGTTTAGGGTTTAGCCATTCCTTCATTCCGAGCTAACCATCTAGACCCTTCTCATACTGTGAACCTGAAACCCTTCCTCCTAGTGACCTAGCGTCTTTGAAGTTTTGTTCCGGGACTGTGCCTGCTCCTTGAGAGCTTTCGTTCTGAGCGATCTGTTCGAAAAGAGGCACTCCAATTCTCCGACCCTGAACTCCTAAACCCTTGGGGTTATATAGGGACAACGGAAAACAAAATGGAAACTACTATTTAGGGTTTAGGGTCTACTAAAACCCTGAACCTTAAACCCCCTTCAAACCCTGCAACCCAGGCTTTAGCCTGCTGGAGCAGCGCGGTGCCCCGCAGGCCAAATCGAAAAGCTGAGCTGAAAGAAGCCTCGAATTGCCTGATACGGAGTAGAACTTGCAAATTTTTCGGGATACAGGGACATTATATAGCGGATCATAACGGATAAAAAGGGGCGGGTTCAACCTCGAAGCCCTAAAACATCGTGGCCTACAATGCGCATGTTGAAAACCCTGAGCCCCACCCCTCCCCACCCAATCTCTTCCCTCATTATCTTTTTATGTCCTTGTATTCAGATGCTTACGCAGCCTGTATATTATCCCCATTTTCGGAGTGGGGGCTACCCAAGACGCAATTCTGAGACTTTTCACCCTTAGTAAAGTCTCTAGGCTGGGAGGCTGGAACAGTAGCCCGGCACTTTCCCGAAGTCGTGGCAAACCGCCCGGGCTAAAGGCCTGAGGGCAGCTGCCCACCCGAAAGCTCTTTTTAGGCAAGTGAGGGGTCCCTTTTTGGTGCGCTCTATGAGGACAAAGGTGTGTTCGCGTGCATGTAAGACGACCTCTGATTGTGGTTTCGGTTTTCTAGCATGATAGCGAAGGACTTGAGGCTGAAGTTGTTGAGCTGCATCATCCGGGCTGATGGTTTTGAGTAACAAAGTTTATGTGCCTGACCCCTGATAGTTTTCGCAATACTACGGACCGTATAAGTTGGGAGCACCTTAAATTAGATTTTTGTTCGAGCACCGCGACTTATTTGGAAGTTTTCCTAAACGTTTGTTCTGTTTAAAAACTTTAATGATTTTGTTCATTTTGGGCAAAGCGGTTTAGAGCAACTCCATATTTGTATGGACTAGGCCGAATCTCAGCTGCTGGATGTTCATTTACATCATACTGACAGCAGCATGCTTGGAAGCGAATGCAGTGTGTCCAGCATTTTCGTATCTTGTAGTCATCGCCATGATGGTGACGTACGCCCATCCCCTAAGTACATTTGTTCTCCATGATATACTGATACAGAATCATATGCGTCATTGCTGTACACTCCCAGTTGTCATGTCAGGTGCCAATATGCTCAAGAAATTGGGCGCGGCCCCGAACTTTAAACAGCTCCACAGAAGATTCTACTCGTAGTCAGTCATATCATACCTTTAATGCCCAACAAGAGTCCTATATAGGGCCGTGACAGGGTGCAGCGGCCAACCTAAATCCTTTAGACATCTATAGACTAGAGTCTCCCTGAAGTAGATAAAAAATATGAAGTTGCCCAAAGCCATAAGAAGATCCCCATATACCCCATATTCTGTCTACTTCAGGGGGACTATAAGCCCTGGGGGCACGGTATTGGCAAGGTAGTCTGTCTGCCTGTGCTTTCTGTTCAATATCGTTGAGGCGATGAGCTGCCTATTGCTGCTGCTATTGTCATTAATTATTAGTATCATTAATACTATTTCTCAATCATTCCTAGTACGACTGCTACTACTGTTATTTTTTGATCAGAAGTAGTACTCGTACAATTATTACCATTGCCATTATTAGTACTACCCCTACTATGACGACGACTATTCCTATTCTTACTGCTATCACACCTTTTGCTTATTGGTGGTCGCTGGGGAATGGAGAGAGAAACGGATCCCTGCGCAATATTTCATCTGGTCCGCAGAATCTACTTCCTCATTACCTACTAACTACTAGTAGGTTTTGGAGGGGTCCAAGTGTGTTGCTTCTGCGTATATATAGAGGCCAAGGGATAGAGCCGCAGTAGTCCCTGTCAACTGCTTTGGGTGGCCAGCTTTAGCACAGTCTCGTGCCGAAGATGCACTGTCAAGGAGGCTGACTCTGGCGAGGGCATGCCATTGTGTGCCAATGCATCATGCCCAACACATCTAAGCTTCTGCAATGCAGCTTTGCGCCACTCAAACAGGGGCAGGCAGCAGGTTGTACAGGCTGTGACAGCGATAAGCTCTTGAGGGCTTTCCAGGGTGTGTCTTCTTAACTTTGAAACTTGTTCACTGCTCTGAACAGGCGCGTGGATCCCTAAACCAGTGATTTATCGAAGATCACCATGGACCTGTGGACTGGCCTAGTGTTTTCTGCTCAATGTCTGTTGATGATGCATGTTCATTCGGTTTCCTGGAGGCCTGCACGACAGTAAGCACGGGAAGGGCACGTCAGTTTTGTCTGGAGCATGAAGCGCTTTGGGCTGTGGGGCCTGCCCAGGCACTTAATTTTTCTGTCAAGGCAAATAAAGGTTCTTCAGCCATGCAACCTTTTTCGGAACGTGTAAGCTATCGGTGTAGAAATCATCAGGAGGACTTGCAAAGGTGCTTGTGTCTGGCACTATGAAAAGAACCCACAGAGTTGCTATCTAGAGCACGATCTTCACCCGGGCATGATGCTTTTGCCTTCGCCATTTCCGTGGAGTGGATCAGAAAGTGCAGTGCAAAACGCGGATTCAGGCTTTCAGGTCCCATGGGCAGTACATGGTTTGTGCAATTCGTTAACGTATTTGGTAGGCCCGGGGGACGACATTTCCACGAGAACTTCTGATGACGGGTAGAAAAAATTGCAGCATCCCTTGTTTTGGCGCTTCCAGGAAAACGGATTCAAGGTTCTGCTGCCATCGTCATGTGTCTGAAATCCATCACGCCCATCGCAGATCTCCCAGACCCTGAACTCTAAACCCTGAACCGGGCTAAACCTTAAAGCCCCACGCCCTAGACCTCAGACCCGAAACCCTGGAACAGAGTCTGAACCTGATCCCAGGGATTTATGGGATCCCCAAGCAGCCCCTCTTATGCTAGGCCAAACCCCGCGAACCACAGCGCTGAATTGTCAATCAATCCAAAACCTTGCAGTGCCACGGTGGATGGCGGAAATCTTGCAGCATTCCGGATCCCCAATGTACCGTAACTTCCGGGCACTGGGTGCGTGAGGTGGTAACATTGAGAACTCTCATAGCATGAAGAAGCAGGAGCAGACTTTAGGGTCCAAGCAGTTCAATGGAGTCAGTAGAGTTTGTGTGACTTAGAGATCGGGAGGCTGGAGCCGAATCAGCAACCCTAAGCCCTAAACGAAAAAGGGGATTTTGGTAACCCCAACCCCTAAAATTAGGACCCAATGACTATCATATGATGGTCATAGGGTCCTAATTTTGGGGGTTGGGGTTACCAAAATCCCCTTATGATAAACCCTAAAACCCTAAATTAAAAAGCCGGCAGAGATGCCCAGACAATGGGATCCTCAACTCCT